CCCAGCCTCCTGGGTAGGACCTGGAAAAACGAAACGGGTACCCCGGGTAGACCCGGAGGAACCGCGCCTGTAGGTAGGCAATTTTACACACCGGTGTAACAGAGCGATTGTACCCCCCCGAGTTGGAGTACCCCCGGTACATCAGCTCTAGGGTACCTGTACCCCCCCACCCTCGAGCCCCGGGGGTACACCGAACCTAGGGCTGGGGTACCCCCGGGGGTACACGATCTCTAGGGCAGAGGTACCCCCCCTCCTCGACCCCCGGGGATACACCTAACCTAGGGCTGATGTACCCCCGGGGGGTACATGGTCCCTAGGGCAGGTGTACCCCCCTCCTCGACCCCCGGGGGTACACAGAACCTAGGGCTGGTGTACCCCCGGGGGGTACACGATCCCTAGGGCACATGAACCCCCCACCCTCGAGCCTCGGGGGTACACCCAACCTAGGGCTGTTGTACCCCCCGGGATTACACGACCCCTAGGGCCCATGTACCCCCTACCTTGAGGGTAAGGGATCTACCATACCTCATGTCTTCGAGGGCACATATTCCACACCACTAAAGTGGCCAGATCTCATCTAGCCTAACCTAACCTAGCCTAACATAACCTAAAGCGAGCTTTGATTAACTGTAGGTGTTGTGCGTACGAATCTCGGGTGATACATAAACTCTAGGGTACGTGTACCCCCCTCAGATGGGGGTACATCAGCTCTAGGTTTGCTGTGCCCCCGGGTCTCGAGGAGGGGGGTACATGTGCCCTAGAGATCGTGTACCCCCGGACGGTACACCAGCCCTAGGTTCTGTGTACCCCCGGGGGTCGAGGGTAGGGGGGTACATGTGCCCTAGGGACAGTGTACCCCCCGGGGGTACACCAGCCCTAGGTTGGGTGTACCCCCGGGTCTCGAGATGGGGGGGTACATGTGCCCTAGGGACAGTGTACCCCCTGGGGGTACACCAGCCCTAGGTTGGGTGTACCCCCAGGTCTCGAGATGGGGGGGTACATGTGCCCTAGGGACAGTGTACCCCCGGTACACTATACCTGGGGCTGATGTACCGGGGGGGTGCCGGGAGCCGGGGGTATAACCACTCTGCGACACCTGTTCTACCCGGGTTACCCGCTGCCCGCTGCTAACCAGGAAAACCCGTTTACCCGGTTCTTTCCCGGGTTACCCGGCTACCCGCGGTCCGTGTTTTGAGAGC